CCTACAAAAATGAAGGAAACAGAATTACCACCCTCTCAGACGTTTTACAACAAATTTGATGGTGAAGACATTAGTGATGACAATTATGCACATGCACAACGTGTGTTTAAAACTTTTAAATGTCAATCCATGCAAGATTACCACAATTTATACTTCAAAGGTGATGTGACACAACTACAAGACATCTTTGAAGATTTTAGAGACATTTGTTTAACACATTATGGACTCGACCCATTACATTATTATACATCACCAGGGTTAGCGTACGATGCAGCGTTAAAAATAACTAAAGTAAAACTAGAATTGTTATACGACCCAGATATGTTATTGTTCTTTGAAAAAGCCACTAGAGGGGGTATTTCTCAAATAAGTCATCGACATGGTAAGGCTAACAATAAATACATGAGTAAGCGCGACACAACACTACCTACTAAATAATTAACGTATTTAAGAGAGGATATAAACGTAAACATGTGGTGGATGGTAGTAGTCTGTTTGACACGATCGCTAATTTAGCTGGACGTATGTTTACCTCTTCTACCGCAAAGACTCTAGGAAGTATAGCCATGACTGCTGCCACTAATGCAGCTCTTAAAGGTGTGGAAAAAGGAGCCACCAAAGCTGTGGATCATGTGATTCGTAGGAAACCAAAAACAAAGACTCCTCATCAACAAGCCCGTTTGAACAACATCATTTCATCCTCTAAAAGCAAAAATCAGCAGAAAACCCGTTTGAACAATATTATCTCAGACAGTGGTATTGCAACCATTCACGACTTCGTCAAACGCTATAAATAAATGAAAGATATACTTAGTATCACAGAAGGTTTGTCTTTTGATGAAAGTATTCAGGAATATCAAGTCCATGAATACGAGCCTCAAACTGGAGCATCCTTAAACAGTTCCGGTGCTGAAATACGAATCAACATCGAAACCAAGGATCTGTTTGTCCATTTATCTGAAAGTTATCTCGTGGTGGAAGGACAAATTCTAAAAGCCGACAACACAGCTTATGCCGATGCAGATCTTGTCTCCCTTGTCAACAATGGTATCATGTTTCTCTTCAAAAGCATCGGATACAAACTGTCCGGTCAGCAGATTGAATACCTCAATGATCCAGGAATAGCGACTACTATATTGGGGTTGTTGACGTATCCCAACGACTTTAGCAAATCACAAGGTCTCAACAAATTGTGGTTTAAAGATTCTACGACTGAAGCCGAAGCCGAAAACACTGGTTTTGCAGATAGACAAGGTTACATTATTACCAAACCTACCCCAAATGGAACGTTTTTGTTTACCCTACCTTGAAATCATATCTTTGGTTTTGCAGTAAATTATACCAAAATCATGTATGGGTTTAAACATGAACTCACATTGGTACGAGATTCCGATGAAAACGCGGTATTCAGAGCAGCAGGAACAGATCGAGCAAAAATTGTATTAAGTAAACTATCCTGGTTCGTTCCTTATGTGATCCCCTCCGATGACAACAAGATGAAACTATACAAAACTATTCAAAGCATGACTAAACTCGACTGTGGTTTCGGCATGAGACAGTGCGATTCCATATCCGTTCCCCAAAGTAGAGAATTCACTTGGAGACTCTCTGCTAAAAGTGGACGGGAAAAACCTAGATATATCATCGTAGCCTTCCAAACCGATAAAAGTAACGATCAAGTACAAAATGCAGCACTATTTGATCACTGTTTTTTAAGAAACATTTATGTCGCCTTAAATGCACAACGTTATCCAGCTATAGACTTTAACACCCAATTTAATCAGTGTAAAATATCTAGAATATACAAAGAAGCCGTCGATTTTCGTAAAAAGTTCTTCAACATGGATCAACTCATAAGTAATAATAATATCAACCCTTCCGACTTTACAGACCTCTATCCTTTGTTTGTGATTGATGTAAGTCACCAATCTGAAAAGCTAAAAGAGTCAGTAGTTGACATTCAAGTCAGAGTAGAGTTCGAACCCAGTGTTCCAGCAAACACCGAAGCCTTTGCACTGGTGATCTTAGATAGAGTCCTGAAGTTCGAGTCTGATGGAACCAAAATGAATGTTGTGTTCTAAAGATAAATGGATCATCACTTGTTACAACGCATCGTTCAAAATACAGCACCTAGGGAGGGTTTCTCTTTCATCGTGTCAGCTAATAACAACAAAATCGATACCATGTTCAATCCACTCATTTACTTAAAAAATGGAAAGAGTTATGAAATGGCTCTGGTCAACTTAGAGACTTACTACTCTTTCCCAAATATTCATGCAGGGAACAATACCTTTCGTTATTCAAATGATAATGGTGCCACCTGGTTAACCGTTGCGTTAAACACTTGCTCTCAGTCTATCGAAAACATCAACAACGTGTTACAAAGGAATCTACAACTCAACAAACACCTTATCAAAATCGACATCGGTGCTAATCACAGTACACTAAGGGCAACACTTACTTTAGCTTAAAACTATCAAGTATATTTTAATGTTGTCAATAGCATCAATACAGCACTGGGCTTTAACGAAGAAATTTATACACACGATCGAGCTACAAACGGTTACACAGAGGGTAAGATCATTGTCAACATCATCAGCATCAACACCATTCTCGTCAATAGTGATATCATCAGTGGTAGCTATGTCAATGGATCACAACAACCCACCATCTACAGTTACTTCCCAACTGTATCCCCTGGTATGAAAATCATTAAAACCCCTCAAAACTTGGTCTATTTACCAGTCACACTGAAAACCGTCAATCGCATGAGTACTACTTTTACAGATCAAGATGGAAATCCCATCGATCTGAGAGGTGAATATGCAATCTATTTGGAAATAAACTCATCATAGAAACAAAACTGAACATTTTGTACGCAAGGCGCGCGTTTCTTGTACAAAAGACTCACTATTGAAGATGGAATCAAAAGATTTAAAAGGGCCAAATATAGTACGACGTTGAAGAGCATTGAGGACCTAAATTTGCGAGATGTTTACCAAAAACAGCTACGATAATTATTCCTGGGGTTAGAAAATCTTTAGTATTTTGAAAAATTCAAAAGTTTTGTTAATAGTTAATTTTTAGTTTTTTACATAATGCTTATTACTCTTCCTTTTTTTTTACATGTAAATCTATATATTAATTTGAATTGAAAACCTATACATTTTGTAAGATAACTAAAGATGTTTCTCAGAACCTGTGAATATTTAATTCTGTTAACAAATTAAGTTTGTATTTCAAAATTTCCTCTTAATTATCACAATTACCATTTTGGGTAATCAATTTGGAATAGCATAAATATGATAACCTTGTATCAATAACAGTTGAAATTCTAGGCCTAAGTTATAAGAAAAGCTGCTTTAATTTTTATTATATTCATATTTATTCATCTTTCTTTTTTTAATTCTTTTTTAATTTTAAATTAATGTTTTTTCCATTCTTAGTTGTATTTATATTATGAATATTCAGCAGTTCAAAAGTAATTCAGATATCTATTTAAACTTTCAATATTCAACTTTTCACACAACACTTGAAGTCTAAGTTTAATAAGCATTTGCTATTTAATTTGACTTTTAATATTCAGGTAGTCAACTTTCACAAAGACATTTATAAACGTGGAAGTTTAATTCACTTGTCATTTTGTCAAATTAGCTCATTTATACATTGAAATCGAGTAGCTAAATTGATGGTGCAGCAGTTCATGTCAGGATGCAAATTTCACATTCTCATGATTGATATTCAGAGCGAGAACATGTAAATGTGATATCAACCATTTGTCCTATTAGACGATAAACGGCATATGAATAATACTGCCATTTATTTGTTGACCGTAATTGAATATCTGTTTCACAGATGACGACAGATATGTTACAATCGTCGTAACCACAATCCCGTACTCCTTTTCCACGAATGTCTCCTACAAAATTAGACTTATTTCCGGGTGTGTACTTAGATGAGAAACACGACAAGTGCCACATATGGAGCAGGATCTGCTTACACTTCCGGGGACCCTGAGATCACCCCCAGTTTTTGGTGGGTTCGTGTTGCTCAGACTTTAGTTTTGTGTTTTGTATACTAGTGTTGTTTGTCTTTTGGTCATTTGCCATGGCGTTGTCAGTTTGTTTTCGACTTATAGATTTGGATGTCCCTTTTGTATCTTTCGCCTCTCTCTTATTCGTTTAACTTATTGAGGTGGTTGTAAAAAAGAAACGCTTTATTATATTAATTCTTAAAAAGGTATTCGAAACAAAAACAACCTGCAAAAGAAACAATACAAAGGCAACATAGTGATACTTTTGTGGCACAAACCAAAAGATTGATTACTTATCGTGCCGATATGCCAATGTTATAGCTTTGTTGATGGTTGATTATGAAAAAGTACAACTCATTATAGAAATGTAATATTATTAGGAAAACTTGATGTACATAGACCTTTTTTTATAAATTTTAAATCAACTGTATCTTCGGGTCAGTATAAATGAATACAAAATTTCATGAAAAAAAATAATTTCGTATACTTTGCCTTAAGAAGACATGCACATATTTTAATGAAGATGTTGGATTTAATTAAATAAACGATATGAATGCAAAGACATTATTGTATAAATCATACAAATAGTAATACTTATATTCAGATTCATTTCCATAAGTTCTAAATGTATACGTATACTTTGCCTTAAATAATGTTAAAGGATTTTTTTGTACAATATGTGCTTTATGACGGCATGATTATGCAGATATAACACGACTCTCCATTACATACATTTATCTGCTTGTAAGGGTCTTTTAGCTTGACGACAATCTAATATCAAATCGGAACAATGTTACCCAAAACATTTTTAATAACATTAGACGTAGAAATTTTCTGCACCAGATGCTATTTTAAACAAATAATGATTCTTCAGACGGCTCGATTCCAAATATTTCTAAACTGAAAGATAATACCAAGAACTGATATAACTGTTCGCATTTGATTGTTCTTTTAATAATTCACATACCTCCAGTTCTGTCGAATTCGTTTTCTATCATGTCATTGTAGGTTTTCTTTGTAAAGTCTTGAGATATGTTTACCACAAGGAGATAAATTGCATTAGTACTAAGAAATGTCTGGTGAGTGGCATAGAATTCTTTCTGTCCTGCAAAATCCCAAAATCCACAGTCTGCATACTGCTCAGTTTCATATTGACTGATTGAAGATTCGTTACCTACATAGATAAGAAATAAAGATACATAAAAAGGTAATCATATGAGTAATTCAACTGTTTTGAATATACTTAATGGTCTGTACTCAAATAACTATATATAGCTCTTTGTGTCGATCTTACGATACCATCATACAGACTCTGACTTGCATAATTGCGTGCATTTATCTAAGAGCATTTAATTTGGTTCCTTTCATCTCTGTGATAATGTTTCAATCATATTAACGTGAGTTTGTATATTATCCTATTTTTTTTCCATTAATTTGCCTAGTGTCATTGTAAATATTGTGCTGCATATTAACCATAAAAAATACACAGATTTTATAAATTACTTTTTTACGAATTCTTGATAGTCCTCCGGATGTCACACATATATTCATGAATTACCCTTTACCCGGAAATGTACCTTTATCCCATTACTCTTAACTAGAAAACAAAGCTTTTCTCAACAAAGCAAAATATTTTATAGTAGGTCTTGAAACGTTTTACTTTTAAACGGAAACGTATTTACTGTTATCTAAAATACCGTTAAGAGGGTTATTTTCGCGGGGTATTTAATTTCGATTATTTTGGCGGAAAATTCAAAATCGCAAAAATGTATTCCGCGAAAATGTATGCTAACGTTCGGTACTTCCTAATAGCTAAAGCGTTTTGTAAACGATCTATTTTTTTCCAGTCGGCAGGTCAATGACGGTAAAGGTTAGTTTTAACAAATTACATGCCAAAGGACATTGTACATACATATGTATACCCTTATTAATTAGTGTCTTATAATATAAGAGTGTAAGGTACTCTGTCGGGTATTTTACCCTTATTACAGTCGTTCTATAGTTAGTGTGACAAGTCTTGCTAAAGTACAATGTTTACAATAATTTTATTATTTTGAGATCGCCCCGTCATTTAAACCGTCATACTCTGACTCGTATTTGGACTCGGGTCGGAAAATCTCTAGTAGTCGTATAGGAAGACTACAAACATAACCACAGGACTGATAATTGGCTATAATTTACTTTTGTTAGTTAATCTATTCTTTACAAATGCGTTTAGTATAACGTTTCATGTAGCACAAGATTACCTTGTTTGGTTTGATTATTCAATCAAAACCTGATAGCCGTATAGAAAAATGACAAACAATACACCTAGCGTGATTATAACGAGAGACTGAAAAAATAGGCTCGCCTAACGATGAACGATCGCTCCCCTCTATTGTAGCTACTAGACTACATTACAAATAAATCATGATAAATACATGTAAAGGTTTTACAGCCATAATTTTCACTAGGTTAAAAATATTTAGCCTTGTAGTTTCAGACAGAAAAGAAATTTGAAAATTGGCAAAATCAGAATCAAGAATTGACTCTGGATGCTATAATTGATACGAAAGTTTTGCATATGTCTCGCATTCAGCCACACACAAAGGAAAGTTTCACAGCATCGGAAAAATAAATAAAAGCTACTAATTTCACTAATATTCTTAATTTACAAATATCCATATCCACGAAACATTGACAGTGTTTTTGAAGGGGTTATAGTATTTATATCATCACATATAGCTATTTCTGTGAAATCTGAAGCAAACCTGGTGTGGCGTCGTAAAAATCCTTCATAACCTTGAAAAAAAATTAGAACGGGTTAAGGTCTGGATGGTATGGTGGTTGAAAAAAAAAGTTCGACATTATGTTGGTTACGCTATGTCCTCATATAACCCTTAACAAACCGGCCATGGTTCATTGACTGAATTTATTGCATAACCTACATGTTAAACTTTTTTTTTTTAATTTCAACATTTGCATCTTACTATCAAAAAAACAAAAAGGCGAGACATATCTCGGTGTTAACAGTTTATATTAAAATTGTACAGAAACTCCATTATACAGTACACCAAACAGTCGATACTTATAATTTGGCATTGCAATATATAAGTATATATGTATCGTGGCGCTAATCTTAAGAGTTATATTTATATATATGTAAGACTCAGACGACGCCCGGTCTCTAATCGACGTCCGTTCCTCAAATCAACGTCCAAATCTGACGTCATAATGAAATAAGATTCCAAATCGACTGATCATTCTAGGACCCTCTAATCGACGTCTTTTTGTTGTTCTCAAATCGACGTCCAATATTTTGGCTTCTCTAATCGACGTCCTTTTACGACTTGCCGCAATGACGTCACAATTTTAATGAAAACAACTCTCATATTCCTGAATTCATACAATGCATTTTCCGAGAACAAATGGTTTGGTTCAACCTAAAACTAAAACAGTTATCTTGCAGAGTCCAAATAATAATACTTTTCAACTATTGCCTCTATTTCTATTGTTTCTATTGTTTGAGACTGTATATTGCTCCCTAGATGTCTTTCGATTATCTTTGTTGTTTTTTTTTTAGTTCAGTCTATGTGGCCGTGTGGTCTAGAGCGCTGGACACAGTGCAGGCGGTGTTGTCTCGATATCCCAATTGCATGAGTTCGAATCCCGGCGAGGGAAGAACAAACATTTGCTTCTGCAAATTTGCAGATTTAACATTGTTGTGCTGATATTTAGAGTAGTTATGAATATAAAATGTGTTTTCAGCCGTGTTTTACCTTCACTGGCGATCCAATGGATGGATGTATAATAGAGTTGTCACTTGTTTAGACGTACTTATCAAAATAATTATTTCTGTGACTGTATCTTACGATCCTTTTCTATAGATATTTAGCTAATCAGCAATCAATTCCATCTTCATGCCTAATATATCATGTACTGTGTTACAACTCTAGATTCTACTGACGAGGAAATGTAACACTAGGCCACCGAAAGCTGAATTTTTAGTTCAGTCTAGGTGGCCGTGTGGTCTAGAGCGCTGGACACAGTGCAGGCAGAATTGTCTCGATATCCCAATGGCATGAATTCGAATCCCGGCGAGGCAAGAAAAAAACCATTTGCTTCTGCAAATTTGCAGATTTCACATTGTTGTGCTGATATTTAGAGTTGTTATGAATATAAAATGTGTTTTCAGCCGTGTATCGCCTTCACTGATGATCCAATGGATTGATCTGTCGTAGAGTTGTCACTTGTTTAGACGTACTTATCAAAATAATTATTTATGTGACTGTATCTTACGATCCTTTACGATAGATATTTAGCTAATCTGCAATCAATTCCATCTTCATGCCTAATATATCATGTACTGTGTTACAACTCTAGATTCTACTGACGAGGAAAGGTAACACTAGGCCACCGAAAGCTGAATTTTTAGTTCAGTCTAGGTGGCCGTGTGGTCTAGAGAGCTGGACACAGTGCCGGCGGTGTTGTCTCGATATCCCAATAGCATGAGTTCGAATCCCAGGGAGGGAAGAACAAAAATTTGCTTCCGCAAATTTGCAGATTTAACATTGTTGTGCTGATATTTAGAGTAGTTATGTATATATATATATATACCACTCTACCAAGAAATTTGTTTTGCATGCACACGTATAAAAGTTGCGGTTTTTATCCAACGCAATCATAGGTTTGAACGTTGTTTTCAATTCAGACTTGTTTATATTTTTTCGTTTGGGCTTGTATTATATTTGCCTTCGGGTTTATATGATCCGTTTATCCTATTTTGACTCTCCAAAATTCAAGAGTCAATCCCAAATTGAGGTAAATTATATGGTCTTCCTAATACCGTTTCGATTCCTAACATCACTGAAGAGACATGAATTGTCGAAATCCGGATATGGTGTACAAATTTTTGCACCTCATGTTTGCGGTATACCATCTTTTCCGCAAGTTTATTGTTTTCTGTTTGGTATTTAATTAATAAATTAAGATCCATTTTTACATCTTGTGATCCGTTTATTTGGCAATCGCCATGGCAGTCAGCAGGGTTGTAGAACATCCGTTGTTCGACCTGCTAGTCAAATGCGTTTTGTTAAAATATACTTTTTCACTATTTTTGGTTCTTTAGAAAATGTTGTTTGTGCTGTATTCAGACCACTCTGTCAACGTATATTTGTTCCGCCTAACAGAAGTTCCACTGGAAACTTTGTTATAAACAAAGTCATAATATCTGTTCCTGTAAGAACAACTATTCTATACCATTTATTCCGTTAGGAACATTTACTGTAATATTTATTCCAGTGGAAATAATATTCCAGAATATTGTTTCCATTTGGAACTTATATTATGAAGGAACTTCTATTCCGTGACAACTCTACCAAGAAATTTGTTTTGCATGCACACGTATAAAAATTGCGGTTTTTATCCAACGCAATCATAGGTTTGAACGTTGTTTTCAATTTAGACTTGTTTATATTTTTTCGTTTGGGCTTGTATTATATTTGCCTTCGGGTTTATATGATCCGTTCATCCTATTTTGACTCTTCAAAATTCAAGAGTCAATCCCAAATTGAGGTAAATTATATGGCCTTCCTAATACCGTTTCGATTCCTAACATCACTGAAGAGACATTAATTGTCGAAATCCGGATATGGTGTACAAATTTTTGCACCTCATGTTTGCGGTATACCATCTTTTCCGCAAGTTTATTGTTTTCTGTTTGGTATTTAATTAATAATTAAGATCCATTTTTACATCTGGTGATCCGTTTATTTGGCAATCGCCATGGCAGTCAGCAGGGTTTAAGGACATCCGTTGTTCGACCTGCTAGTCAAATGCGTTTTGTTAAAATATACTTTTTCACTATTTTTGGTCTTTTAGAAAATGTTGTTTGTGCTGTAAAAATACCACTCTACCAAGAAATTTGTTTTGCATGCACACGTATAAAAATTGCGGTTTTTATCCAACGCAATCATAGGTTTGAACGTTGTTTTCAATTTAGACTTGTTTATATTTTTTCGTTTGAGCTTGTATTATATTTGCCTTCGGGTTTATATGATCCGTTCATCCTATTTTGACTGTTCAAAATTCAAAAGTCAATCCCAAATTGAGGTAAATTATATGGCCTTCCAAATACCGTTTCGATTCCTAACATCACTGAAGAGACATTAATTGTCGAAATCCGGATATGGTGTACAAATTTTTGCACCTCATGTTTGCGGTATACCATCTTTTCCGCAAGTTTGTTGTTTTCTGTTTGGTATTTAATTAATAAATTAAGATCCATTTTTACATCTGGTGATCCGTTTATTTGGCAATCGCCATGGCAGTCAGCAGGGTTTAAGAACATCCGTTGTTCGACCTGCTAGTCAAATGCGTTTTGTTAAAATATACTTTTTCACTATTTTTGGTCTTTTGGAAAATGTTGTTTGTGCTGTATTTAGACAACTCTACCAAGAAATTTGTTTTGCATGCACACGTATAAAAATTGCGGTTTTCATCCAACGCAATCATAGGTTTGAACGTTGTTTTCAATTTAGACTTGTTTATACTTTTTCGTTTGGGCTTGTATTATATTTGCCATCGGGTTTATATAATCCGTTCATCATATTTTGACTCTTCAAAATTCAAGAGTCAATCCCAAATTGAGGTAAATTATATAGCCTTCCAAATACCGTTTCGATTCCTAACACCACTGAAGAGACATTAATTGTCGAAATCCGGATATGGTGTACAAATGTTTGCACCTCATGTTTGCGGTATACCATCTTTTCCGCAAGTTTCTTGTTTTCTGTTTGGTATTTAATTAATAAATTAAGATCCATTTTTACATCTGGTGATCCGTTTATTTGGCAATCGTCATGGCAGTCAGCAGGGTTTAAGAACCTCCGTTGTTCGACCTGCTAGTCAAATGCGTTTTGTTAAACTATACTTTTTCACTATTTTTGGTCTTTTGGAAAATGTTGTTTGTGCTGTATTTAGACCACTCTAGCAAGAAATTTGTTTTGCATGCACACGTATAAAAATTGCGGTTTTTATCCAACGCAATCATAGGTTTGAACGTTGTTTTCAATTTAGACTTGTTTATATATATATATATATATACATATATTCACGGAAGCAAAATTTTAAAGTTCCAATTTTTACCACAAATTTTTCCTGATTTCCTATTATTTATCAGCTTCAAAATCGTACAAAACTGATTTCTATTCGCACACCACGAGTTTGAAATGGTAAGAAAGGCATGCCAAATATTTTGAAAGCATTTAAGTGGGAAGACCTTGATGACAAAATGTCTTCGCATTTTTTTTTCTCTCTCATTTACACAAATGAATGGGTAGGGTCCATTCATAATCCATGAATGATTTGGCAAAGTCTTGTTAATATTCATCATTGCATTTTGTGTTTATGGCAAGTTTTTTTTATTGTACCTTTAAAACCAGTCGAAAACACTAGTAAGCGTACACAGTTGAATTGTTGTGCACATTTTCCTAATTGGAATAGCCATGACTGTTTAAATGCTAAGTAGACATATATTAGTTAGAAAATCTGAAAAATCATGGTAATATTTTCATCCTGAATGTAAATTAATGGTTGACAGTAAATAAACCTGTCGACAATGTGGAAAGCTTTTAGTTTTCAAACATTGCTGTAAAACTTGTTAATCGTTTGATTCCGGACAAAAATTGCTGAAACAATTATTTAATATATAATTTGAAAATCACAAACTTTTATGCAATTTGACCATTTAAAGTTAACAAATATTTAAACAATTAGACATCAGAAATTAGAAAAAGAAAAAAAAATGAACGAAATTCTGAATTATTCCAGACTGCCTAGTTGAAACATTTTTGGATAATTAAGTGACGATTGTATCGTCCAAAAAAGCAGTTATATTCAGTAAAGGAAGATTAATTAGCCTTCAAAATAATTATATAATTAGAAGATGAGGTGTAATTTTCAATGAAGCAACTTTTTACTAGTGACCAAATGACCTAGAAATTAGGTTGTTTTTTCCCAAAAACAACAGTCCACCGGTCAATGATTCAATCAATAGACGGCACATTCAATGGTTCCAAACCTAAACAGACAACCATTTACTATTTAAGTACTTTCTTTGTGCTAATGTATGTAATCTGTTAGCATTATCTTGTACTCCCAAGGCTGTTCAGATTAAATTCTCTAGAATATTGTGACTGTATGTGTGTTTGAAAACAATAGACAGACTGTTAAGTACAGCCCTTCGCGCAAAAACTTTATACCTTCACTGTTCAATCAATTTTTTCTGAATTCTACTTTTCCCAACCGTTCAACATTTGATTTATATTATGATTAGAGTTGATCCATAACACCCTAACAACAGATTTCTTTTTAGAAGCCTTTAGTATATCAATGATAACCTTCTATCTTTGTCAGCATGTGATTTTTGAACATTTTGTTAAAATGAATGAAACGCCTAAATTTAATGCCTATTAGAGTTAAACCTGTCCAATATTCCTAAATTCTTACTCATTCTCGTAACCAAGTATGAACAATCAATATGTTACATAAATGCTAAGTCATTGTTTCAATAACTGCAATATTAAAACACACAAATGACTTGCAATGCATTTGTAAGAGTTGTCTCCATACCCTAGGTCAACTGCCATCTGTTTTGATCCATTTTGACAAAGATACCTTAATCTTAGTACAATTACACAATATATGAGTTGTTAGTTGAGACAACATAATTTGTGAATGATTGTACTTTACAGGACCAGTTATACAATTTTGAAAGAAGAATATATAGCAACATATATGCAAAATTTAGTGAGTTTACGTAAAAAGAGCATCTTATATTGAAAGTACAGTAAACCACATTCATGTTTATAGTACGTCTTAAATTTACATACAACGATTGATAAAAATAATGACACACAAAGCGTCATTTTCATCGACAGTCAGAAAGTGTTTTCTACGAAAAGTATTCAGATTACTTATATCAAACTTGTATATGATCTATGTGGGCTTCGTATATGCTTAATATATTGATACTAAAACAAAGGTGATACAAATGTCACTCATAATACAAGATTACCTGAAGCAATTGTCCATTCTTTTGTCTGTAAGTCAATTTTGCATCTTCTTACTTGAATATTAATTCCATCAGTGCTTTCAACATTTTGTATGTCTTCATTCAGCAGTCGTCTTAATAGACACGTTTTACCAACTCCATTTTCTCCAACAATCATTATTCTAATGTAATATCTTACAGCGATACCAGTTTTAGCTGCCTTCAAAAACATACTTCTGTCATGCATAGACATCTTTTTTACAGCATCTGGCATTTCTGTATATATAATACAAGTTTGTATACATGCTTGTTTTCTGTTTTAAATTGTTCATATTATTTAAATGCGAGAAAAAAATTGTTGCATGAATTTGAGCGTGCTTAAATATGTGCCAAATTGTAAGTCATTAAACAAAAAAGCGATATTACAGCCTTATTGAAATTGAAGAAAAGAATTTAGACTAAACATTAAAAATTGAAAAGTCACCTCCGGATAAAAAAAATATAAAACAATATTGCACGCTGGAAGTTGTGCAACAGAATTTTTGTTATAAATAATTGATTTGCTTACCTTGCTTGATAGAAAGATATTAGCCAGGCTAGTAGAGTGTCATTTAAAAGAGAAAACAACACAATGCGAAGATCTGTAATGCTCTTACCTAACATGGGGCTATTTCAAATATGATTTGAATGCTTATCATCGATTCTTTTTCGTTTTGCAGAGTCGTTACATTGTAGAACGTTTAACAGTTCAAATTTCGTTCAATCAAGGTAAAATATAATTGATGAATAAATATAGTTATTACACAAGAATCAAATAACATGAAATGTTCTTACCTTTGTGTCATAAAAAGACAAAACCCACATTTCAGCTTTATTGAACAAAGGATATTACTTATCATAAGTTCATCAACAGTTGAATAATATAGTTTATATAAAATATGCTTCTTAACGAATTTCAAGTAAAAAGAATAATATTGCTAATTAAACCCATTCAATAGGCATTAGCTTCAATAATTAATTTATAATGTATAAAATCTTCCATTTAACGACAAGCAAATTATGTCGTTATTCTGTTCATATTTCAGCTTTATAGAACAAATATTACTTATCATATGTTCATCAACAGTTAAATAAAATAGTTTATAAAAACTATGCTTTTTATCGAATTTCAAGTAAAAAGAATAATATTGCTAATAAAACATTCAATAAGCATTAGCTTCAATAAATAAGTTTATAATGTATATGATTTTCCATTTAACGAAATGCAAATTATGTCATCATTCTATACTGCTATGAATGTACATTGTGATGGAAAGAATGGATAGCAGTCATTGATTCTTGTACATGTACAGTTGTCCAAAAAAATCGCAATATGCAAAGAAAGATGTGCTTGCCTTCTATATTTAATTAATACTTTAAATAATACGCAGAGTGCTGTCAATGAATAGGAGGTACAATTTTCAAAGCTTGTTCATTGAGTATTGGAATTACTAAAGGGAACATGAGAATGTTTATTCAACAGTTACATTTAAAGAGCCGATATGTTGGATTTATTCAGAAGTGTATTGCATACCATATTTGAAGAAAATATGTTGCATACGCTACTTAATCACAACTCCACGCGAGGTTTCTATTTTACATATCACAATAAAATAATTGTTATATGTTACTATATCTGAAGTGTCTTTTTATCAATAAACATAGAAACGAAGGTTTATATATTGAAATACGAAAATATTCGTCTGATTTGTAAATTTACCGCTTGTGTTCTATTGCAAATCATGACGGGTAGTGCATGCACAGCAGTAGAATCCTACCTTATCGACACATCCGTTCTCTTTCCGTTAGGAATTCCTGCGATTTCCACAATTATTTTTGTATCTTTATCTTTATTCCAGTGCTTGTGTTACCTGCTATAATTTATTAGATAGGGGATTGCTGCTTACATGGAATATATTGTATCAAGAGGCCCTAGTTTTAAAGTTGAGGTCATCATATTTAAAGTTTTATGAACGACATCATGGGTTAGTTGATCGTTATCGCGTATCGATTTTACAAAAAATCACAATCCCGCCTGCTTCTCCTCGTTTGATAAATAAGCGAATGAGACTTATCTCCGAATTGAATAAAACGACAGGTGCCACGTGTGGATCAGGTTCTGTTTACACTTTCGGAATACATGAAATCGAAGGTGATATATCATGGTCCTAAGTTCAGAGAACCCCAAAACATCCATTGGAACCAGAACTTCAAAATAATTATGGATTCCATTGAGGACTCCGCCAGACCTGGGGTCAATTACATGCCAAAGTAATTAATTACATTTCAAATACACTGATTTTTAAATGTAATTAATAACATCACAATTACATTGATTTTCAAATGTAATTAATTACAATTCAATTACTTTTGGCCAATGACATGTCAGAGCTATATCATATAGGATAAAATCATAAAAATGACAACACGCTGGAATAAAACTTCCAAACATGGACTATTTAACAGTGAAAATATTTGTACAAGCTTCTTTTCAATACTGATTATTTTATTACATTTCTTATTTTTATGGAAACATTTATTTTGATAAATATAGATTCTTACATTGATACCAGTGGATTATCGGATTTATCCAATCGAGATAGTTAAATTATCAATTTTAAAGTCCGAGCCTCGGCGAGGACTTTAAAATTTATAATTTAACTATCGAGATTGGATAAATTCGATAATCTACGAGTAACCATGTAAGAATCTGTTTCTCTAATGATTAAAAAATAAATTTTCATTTTTTGTTAAACGAAAATCCCATTCGAGTGCCTTCCACATTCCACAAAGTTGTCAATTTCTTTAACACCTGTTAGAATTTTTTGATTCATCCAGTGAGCTGATAAAGGTTATGACCCTTAAACTCATCCAATCATCTTCTGAGATCACCGGCAGCCACACGTTGATTAAATTTTTTTATACAATGGGTGCAGAAAGGGATAAATTGTCATAGAATTAGAGAAAATTATATATCATATAGATACAAATTGAATATATTTTTCTTAAATATGTTTTTCTTAAAATTTCAAGTTTCTACTAAAATTGTAAACTGAGATTTTTTTTTAAAGTTTTCTTATTTACCTCATCATGATATGTGAGTCAGAAAATTTAAGGTAACTTTCAAACTTCCATTTTTTACAGAAGAGCAATGATAGCATTTTGCTTTTATTTCATTTCCAAACTTGTCTTTTATGTAGTCAAAATTGTCAAGTATATTGGACTCCATCCTTGTACGTTTTTGACTGCCATATTTAACAAAATTCAGAAATTGTTTAAATAATACCTATCTGAACAGATTTTAACATATAAATATGATGGTTATGGTTAAAAATAAAAATTGCCTTTGGCATTTTAATCAAGGGACATTCTTATACTTTAAAATTAATTAAGTGAAAGAAATATCCTGAGGCTTAGATTATTGTTAATTGTTAGAACAACACATTTACAAATTATATGCCAATCATGTCAATAAATTGGTATTGTTTTTAATTTTTAGATTTTTATGTATGCATGTGTAAAAAAATATTAATGAACTAAATACAAATATTAAAGATTATATTAATGCTCTAATGATTGATGAAGTATTACAATGTATTAGGAATGTTTAATATTTTTTCAACACATTAAAATGTTTTTAAAGTTTAAAAAAAGTACTAAGTGCAATCTAATTGTAGAAAAAATACAATTTAAAAGTGCATGATGTGTGATTGCGTCAGAAAAGCCAAAAATGTTTAAAATGTCCCAGCAAATATATGAATGTAATTGAAAGTAATTGAAATGTGATTCATAATTACATGGCAAAAGGCAATGTTATTAATTACTTTCAATTACATGTAATTGAAAATATGTTCAAATACACATTACATTGAATTACTTTAAAAATTGTACAACTAATTGCAATTACATTTTTAATTACCCCAGGTCTGGACTCCGCATGAACTAAACGAGAAGAAGTAGAACTGAACACTTTGTCAGAATGGGTTAAAGCTATCAGGTCTCTGGTAAAACGTCGAATCCAAAAGTTGAAAAACTGTGTAAATAATCGACCACAGTCCGTATTCAGAAACGAAGAATCTGTGAAATGTCTATCATCTCTTCACAATAAATATTTTGTTGTTCCTACGAACAAAGCTTCAAATAATATTGTTTTTGTATGTAAATTGTACTACTACGACATGTACGAGTGTCTTGTTAAAGAATAAAGAATAAATGAGCACTCAGGTAATCCCACATCCAAAAACATATCATTTGAAAAGAATGGGATTTTGGCGAATCCTAAGTCCTTTATGGCTTCAATGAACATTACATTGAACAGTAAATCTAAGAACTTATTAAAATAAGAAGATGTGGTATAATTGCCAATGAGACAACTTTCCAAAGACCAATAACATAGTTAACAACTATAGGTCACCATGCGGCTTCAGCAATGAGCAAAACACATACCGCATAGTCAGCTATAAAAGGCCCCGAAATGACAAATGTAAAACAATTCAAACGAGAAAACCAACGGCCTGATTTATGTAAAAAAGCGATGAACGAAATACAAATATGATATTCAGCAACAAACGACAACCACTGAATTACAGGCTCCTGACTGTGGACAGGCACATACAAAATGTGGCGGGGTTTCACATATTAGCGGGCGCCCAACCCTACCCAAACCTGGGACAGTGGTGTAACAGTACAACATATGAACAAGCTATCAAAATTTCCTTGTTTGTACTGGATACCTAAGCTTCACAAAATTCTGTACACATGACGGTACGTTGCCGGCTCATCTGCATGTTGTACAAACGAATTGTCCATAATATTAACAAAAATTATGTCCGCCGTGAAAGGTCTTCAGAAATACTGTGAACCAGTTTACTCGCGTATTGCTATTTACCATATGCGGATTCTAAAATACCCTAAAGAACTTCTTGATACTTTTATATCTCGATCTTTCTCTAAAATTATTTCTATCAAAATCTTTATACCACCATTCCCAAATCATCTAAAAGAAATAATCCACAAAGTGAACAAAAAGGTGAAACATAATACACGGTGTAACAAGTGATCAGTATGCTGGAGTTTCTTATTCATGTTATTGACAACATATTTGTTGAATTTGGAGGTAGACTTTTTTTAAAAATTGTCGGCATTCCTATGGGAACAAACTGTGCGCCTCTCCTTGCCGACCTCTTCTTATTTTCATAGTCGGAGTTCCTTCAGACACTTGTCAAAAATAGGAAGAT